AGAAAACCCTGCCTGCTGTGAGGGAGAGAAGAGCAGTTCCAATGTTTTTGCAGTGCAAATTAGTCAAACCTGCAGTTTCCGCTGGTTCCCCCATTCATTTTTCTTTGAAACTTGCATACTAATTGATCTTTTATATTTACTTTATTCTCAGCGTCATCTACCATGTTAGCATCTGCCAACGGTCTTTAAGTTAAAATGATCAAATTTGAACATTGATTAATGTAGTTTTAGTGTAAGGAAATATTTTTGAGTTGTTACAGTAATTTACGGAGTTCGTTTATAGTTTTAAACATAATGGAAGTTTTTTTAAATAAATTTTTGTCTTACCAATATTGACATTCCTCTCAAACGGCCTAATCAAAGCCTTACCAAATATGCAAATTAGGTGGTGATGAAATCTGCCGACTTTTAGGCCAGCCAATAGCAAATATCCTCACTGAAGAGTTGGCAACAGTGTGTTCCAAGCAGGCTGTAGCGAAGCTGCGCAGCGTCACATCCTCTCTCTGCGTCGTACTGACGGGTGTGCAGGGGGTTCATAGTGGAGAAGAAACAGCACTGGGGACTCCAGTAGTTTATCAAACCTGCTGCTATTCATTTATTTTAGTGCAACTGTCAGAAAGCATGCAAAACATAGATACTAACACAAGAAATCTATGAAAATGGTACACTCGACTATGAAGTCTAAAACATCCGTGATGGGAGTACGCAGACTCTGCAATACACACAGTATGTGGGAGCTTTGTGTCTACTTTACTCCATATTAGCATCTGCATAAGTACATAATTTTTTGTTATTTAGAACTGGTAGCATTTAAATATGGTGCATTTATTAATTGGAAAAAATGTATGAATTTTCTTAGGGTCAATCATCAGTGATAGCGAACCTCTAGAAGCATACCTTTAAAAAGTTACTCAATAGTTTTCATATATTTAGATTTTTCTTATATATAATATTAGCAACAATGATTGTTTTTAAAGTAAAGACCAAACCTTTTTCTTAATGGAAGTGTTTCTCGAGCAGTGAAGTGGATAAATTTAGTAGTTGTATACAGAAGGAATCAGGTCAGCAGTGTATGTGCTGATGCTTCTCAGGGCCAGCGGGCTGCCACAAATATTTTTTTACATTGTTTTGACATGTGGGCGGACATCTGTAAAGCAATAAGTGCCTCAGCAGCTGCGATACTCAGCCTTGTTATTATGTGGACAATACAGCACATCATCCAGGCAACAAAAGATGCTACGGAGGAGCGGAAGCCGAATGACAGGTGATCCTGCTGTGGCTCCGTCGTCAGATGCTGACGTCGCCCGGGGTGACGAGAGATGCTGAGATTTCTTTTCACTGGATTTCGCTCTGTTCTCCCACATAAAAAAACATCAGAATGGAGGAAAATATAAGTATGGTCAAAGACAAAATGGACTTTAATTTTTGAGGAATTCACAACTGAAGTGTTTCTCAGACTGTTAAAATGAATTCAGCACCCAGTGTCTCTCCTTCATGGTGTTATTTGAGTCGGTCAGCTTTTTTGTTGTCTTATCGCCGTCTGTAGGATCGCTCTCGCTTTATGCCCCTTCACCCCTTTCACCACTTTTTCTTCTGATTTTATTAGATGCTGAATGTGGAATCTGTGCCCTTTATTTATCCACATAAAGGATAAAATAGGGTGCCAAATCCCCCAACAATGCACAATGGGCTACACTGTTGCCAAAGTAACGCCGACGCTCACCAACTGGACTCCACTGTTTCCTGGCTAGTTTATTGAAAAAGAAAATGAAAAAAAAAATGAAAAGCTGAATATCAGAGAGAAGCAGAAGAGACACCAGAGGGTTTGGGATAAGGTTTGTGGGCTGAACGGTTGAATAATCGGCCGAAGCACAGAGTGGAAAATGTTTAATTTTTCAAGGTGATTCAGAAGTGACAGAAAATGTCAGGATGTGGGTTTTTTGATGGTTTTATAGCAGGCTGTTTTGAACCATTAATGGTCCAAGCTGGGAAAAAACAATGACTTCATCCTTTTGTAGTGGATAAATGGTAAGGTGTCAAACAGGTTATTCAACTTCAGAATTGGTAATGTTGATTTTAAAAGTGAAAAATGGCTTTATCTTATTAGAGCTTTATGCATGAGCACCCAGGATGAATCACCTAAATTTGGAGATGTTTCCAGACCAGTTATTGGTATGTCAATTATTTATTTTGGGAGAAGCTTTATCCAGAAATCACTAATCTTCTAGTATGGTGAAAAGGTTTAAAGATTAGGAATAAATGCCTCACAGATCATTGCTGATTTTTTTTACTTTTACAGTCTGCGTCTTCATTTAGAAAAAGCCTCATAGGAGGTGTTACCAGCATTACTGCATTATTCAAAACAGAATCTCACCAGGATATTCATCACATGTTGCAAGATTCTGAAGCAGCACAACACAAAAACACATGACGGGCCTTTAAACATGAATTGTTTTAATCAGATGCTTAAAAATGTGGCTGGAATCGCTCCTATAAAGGGTTTGTTGGTAGAGAGGAGCATATGTCTCACATGAATCTCATGCCGTTGAGGTTTACCAAAACTTGGATATTAGCAAAAATATGTATTTGCCATTTGCCAGGTATCTTATTATGGGATCGATCTGCATATAGAATATAGAGATGCCACAAACGCCAAATGTAGAGTAGGAACCGACTGGTTCCTGATGGTGCAAACATGTGTACTCACTCAATCTCTTGCTAAGCAAAAAATTTGACCCCAATATGACTCAATTAAAGGAATGTCTTTGGTTTGAGCCATCCTCCGTTTGAATTTTAAAATTTCCTTTGGAGGTTATTTATGGGTAATCTATTCATATTATAGTCATTGCTGTACACCCTCTCCGAGTTAAAGGTTATTAGATAATAATAAATAAAAATAATAATTCATTTGATTTATAATGCACTTTCCACCAAAAAGGCCTCAAAGTGCTACAAAAAAGCATTTAAAAAGAAATACATAGAGATAAAAGAAATAAAATAAAATAAAATAATAAAAGCTGTTTTAAAAGAGAAAAAAGAAACATCTAAGGGGGACCAAAAGTTTTGCTAAAAAGAAATGTTTAGACTAATGGAGAGGATCTGTTCATTTTCAGGCTTTAAAATTATTAAAACCTGAGCAAAAGGGTCCATACAGTAATTTCTAAACAAAAGGTCTCCTAAAATAAATTAGAATAAACTTGTAAGAAGCAGGGAATGGTGGCACATAGAAGACAAGGAAAGACATAATCAATGCCCAGCGAAAGGAAACCAATCAATGACAAGAGCTCTTCATCCTATTTGAGCTCCATCATTCTAGAGATACAGATGTTTCATTAGTTGAAACATTTGAGACCATTTGCAATCTTTGCTGAAGAGGATGTTTCAGCAAATTCACTGCAGGGACAAACTGATTTATATAACCGTGTTCTGCACAGCAGACGGTTTGGACAAACTTCTGGTTCAACATATCCGTACCAACACCTCGTACCAGCTGTAACACAGTGTCAGAGGGATCAGGATGTCGACCTGTTTTGCTGGCAAATGGCTATAAACTCCTCTGTATCCAGACATATTCCATATTTTATTTATTGTTTGTCCACTTTACCTAAACAGTAACTTGATGGATAGGTTTTGTCATGTCATTCAGACCTATTATTTCCTGTCAAACATTAAACAGCTTGATTCACAGAGGAGCAAGCTAACCATGGTTTGTGGTACTACTGTGCCAAACAATATAAAGCATGCTGCATTTTTTTATTGTTGCAAGACAGTTTTTTAACAATACATCTTTCAGATTTAGAGTCATGCAGCCCTCAGATCACGTTCCATAAAATTAGTTCCAATACTATACCTCAAATTGAGCTTTTAATGTTGTTTTTCTGGGGTTTGTTTAATGTTTTTGATCATGAAATATTGAAATGACATTTAAATTATCAGCAGACAAAGGACCACATATAGGCAGCAGTTTGAAAAAAATCCTTTGTAAAGATAATATGATCAAATTTCAAGGTCTGCCTGCTGTTACCAACAAACTATAATCCGGTGGCGATTTAAATCCTAATGCTGTCTTTTTTTTTTCTTTACTGTCCTTGCTAGTGAATTCTCGTTTAGATGGAAGCTTTTTCATATATTTTGTTTGCTTTTTATCATATAAAAAAACATCCTTCAACCCTAAGCAAGAGTGTCTTTAATCAGAGGCTTCTCCAATTCTGCCACTGCAGGAGGTCCTTCCTGAGTAATGCAAACTCCATCTACAGCACATTGAAGAAATCCCTGTTAGATAAATAAAGTCATTTCAAATTTGATATTTAAACAGATTTCAATCTGTTTAAATATATACATGTCTATATATAGATATATCTATATATAGATATTTACAGATATATAGATAGATATTCAGAAATATATATATATATATATATATGTATATATATATATATAGGTAGCGTAACTGATTCATGGATGAGGCTAGTAAAAGGGCCTTTATAGTTAAAACCTGATGAAATGAAAGCGAAAAGTAAAAAAGCCTGATGCCAAACATATTTAGCAGGTTTTACATTTCATCATAGTTACATTAGATTGGATTAGATTCAATTAGATACTCTATGAAATCTCAGATAATTTTTCACTATAACATAATGTTTGAATTAAGCAGAAAAAACACAAGGTTGAAAAAAATAATAAGAAAGTATCTCTACATTATCTTTGATCAGAGCATGCTTAGATGTTTTGAAGCCAAGCAGACTAATACTATTAGAAGGATGTTGTAGAAAATGTTGATGCTCAACTACTGGAGAGAGTAGTAGTAAGAGGGGACACCATACATGCATTAAATGCTATTTAAAACCTCTTTTTTCATAGAAATCTTTTAGAATTTTGGTATTTCTTCTTTTCTTATCGTTCTTGTAAGCCAAAAAAGAAGTGTGTTTTTTTTTCTTAAACAAAATCAATCTGTGTGTCTGAATCATGATGAAGCAGCTGAGTCACAGTTTCTGTTGTAGATGAAATCAGTCTGGAGGGGATGGTGGTGCACAGAGCTGAATGTCGACCGGTCGTATCTGACAGCTACATGAAGGTGAAAAGGTGAGTGAAGCCCAGAGGCTTGTAGGACCTCTGCAAACTTCAGCCAATGCATAGAAAGGAAACAGTTTCAGGAAAATGTTACAAACAGATGGTCAAGAGGTATAAATTAAAGATTTGATGCTGAACCAGTACCTTCATTATGCAACCTGGATATTGCAGCTTTTACTTTGGATTTGTTTCCCTCAAATTAAAGAATGAAAACTTGAATGTAAAGGATATAAGATCAGTGTTTACTTTTTTATGTCATTAAATTTGAATGGGGTCACTTTAGAGATGCACTGTGCAAAAAAATGCAGCCATGAAAAGAAATGTGTTGATAGGGGGGCAATATTTTACAGTTTTTGATTAAAATGAAATTCGATTTCTGCATTAAAAGAATGAGCAGTTCAGCGGTTTCATGGAATGAGCAACGATCAATGTTTTTCAATAATATTTTGTTCTAAACTAAATTTTTTGCTCTATGGAAAAAAAAGAATCAATCAAAAAAATGTATTGATTGGTGAAATCATAAAAATTAAATATCGGAAATATATATAAAGAATAAAATCTAAAACTGTTCAAAGACCTAAATCCAAGAACCAACGAAGATGGTTTGGATGTACAATAAGAGAAATAATATCAGTGCAGAGTTGCATGAAATCACAAGATGTGTTTTTCTAAGAATATAATAAACTTCCATAACTCTTGCGAAAAAAGTTCTACAAACTGACATGTGGCTTATCTTCAAACATAAATTAATCACAGTGAGAAAGCAGGTCTGTCCTGGAGCCAAAGCTGCTTCTTTTGATGCTCAAGTGTCACCAAAACAAGACATGAACCTATGTGTTAAAAGGATTAATTATGTTAGTTTGTGTACAACACAACTCTACAATCCACTCTGGGTATTTTCTGAACTGCTCTGTGTCCTTTTAACTGAAATATGTTTTTCCAGCCACAGTTAGTGGATGGCATTGCTATAGCAACAGCATCTCTGTGGCAGATGCACGGCTACAGTACGACCCGAGGCAAACGGGTGGTTGGTATCAGAGTGTCAGCCTTCAGATCAGTGAGGAGCGCTGCAATTTAAAGGGAAAGACTTCAGGGATGGAAGCGTGGAGAAGGCGTCCTGCAGATGTTTGGTCATCGGCTCTGACAACTATGCTGTTGACATATTTATGTATTTTACACTTTTTTTTTGTTTCTCTTTAGTGTTTTATATTTACGAACAAATACAAATATCACAGTTTTTTGTTTTTTTTCTTGCCCTGTCAAATAGTGTGTAGATAAACAACCTGCAGCCATTTCACTGGAAATCTCCCTACAGGGATTACATAAAGCCCAATGGGTGAAAATGTTACCAGAATCATAGAAACCAGTAGATCTCTAAGGCAAGAAGCTGCCAAGATACATTTGATGAGTTGAACCTGAAGATGCTGACAGTTTCCCTTCCTGCCACCAGGCACATCTGTCAGTCCTGACATCAGTTAATCCACAGAGACACAGCCTTTCTCATTTTGCTCCTTTCTCTCTTTTTTTCTGTCTGTTTGTCAGGCTGCAGATTGAGTCCGCCAAACCTCAACGTTTGGCGCAGCAGCTGGATAGAGCTGTCACTACCATCTTTAAGCCTGTGGCCAACCACGACTTCAATGTAAGCCATAGCACCAGCTGAATGTGTGTTTGTGTCACCCGTTTGGTTCAGTACTGAAGTGTGTGGTGGCGATATGATGCCATGGATGCCATTTTCAGAAGAGATTTCAGAAGTGTGGGGGGACAGAAGTGTGTTATATATAAGTTCAATGCGTTTTCTCACAGTTCTTCTATGTTTGTTTCCTCCCTTTTCTCTTGCATCCCTGCTATCCCTCTCCTGACAAAATGTATGGATGCATGACATGAACAATTAGACAATTTGGGTGAAACAATCTACGTAGATTAAAAACTCCTAGTTTTAAAATTATTATGAGGTGCAAAATATAAAATCACATGTATTTTTTCCTTTTCTGATGATAATACTATATAACAATAATACATTTGATTTATCGGCACTTTAAATACAACAAATATACTTTTACAAGATTTTTGAAAGCTTTAAAATACAGTGGAGGATTTTTGAAGTGGATCAACTGCTCATTGAGGAGTGTTAGACAGTTCTGTAAATGTAACTTAAACTTTGACTTTTAAAGCAGCCTCTTATGTCTCCTTTACTTTCTTCATCCTGGCTGTGAGTCTTATAACCAGACATACACGACACTATTTCAAAAATTTGTGTAAATGAATACACCTTTTCTTCTCATACACTTCGTCGACATTTTTTCTCTTACAACCCTCGGCCATTTTCAAAGAACCGCGGTGAGTAAGGTGAGCTTCAATGACTCACCACAGATATACACCTGAAAGTGAGCATGCGAAGAAAACATAGCTAACTGTGGACGAGCAGGTAGGATGGCCTTACGTAAACATCACCGGAATGATTTACAGAGGAGGACCTCTTATTTAGATGATCCACCCAGAAAATATAGTCCTCTATACCTTTAAAGTGCATACACACCAAACGCCAATGACTATTCAAGAGGCAAGTGACTAACCTCCAACCAAATATAGTTAAATGTAAAATTAACTTGCAGCACATTCAATTTTTTTGGCCATGCACCAATAAATTTATGGTATGGTTCTGACTGCATGTTGGGCACTTTAGACCATAGGATGATGCCAACACCAACATGTTCACAACTGCTACAATGTCCTGTTCCCTCTTATTAAATGACAATAAGACAACGGTTGTTGACTATATGTGCACAGTTAATGTAATATATATTGATGTTTGAGAACTGCAACAAGGAGAATATTGTTTTAAGATCAGCTTTTAGTTCAATTTTAACACCTATGCAAATAGTAAAGTATTTCATATTAAATAATATTTCTATCAATTATATAAAATGGCGGTCATATTTTACCTCTGAATTAAACAAAAGGTGCTTTATTTGTCAGAATGCAAATCTTTCTGAATCTATGTAGATAAAACTATTCTATCGCTAGATCAAGCAGGACAAGAAGTAGAAAATACATTTTAGGTTAAGTTGTTTTGTAATATGTTCATATTTTACTGTGATGGGTCACTGTATCGGTTTAGGAAACACTTTAACAGTCTGTTTGACAGAGGGTTAAAAAAAGCTGCACATAATCTTTATAGTAAATGAATTAATCTTAATAGTAAAGTAATGAATGAATGAAAAAGCAAAGTTACAGATTTATAATTATTTTTTTCAACTTGTGACCTTCTGCTCAGTGTGGAGGTTTGAAGTCAATAAATGCAGCATGGTTTATTGTTTCTCTGACATCTAGGTATAATATTTCTTTAAAAAAACATCTGAAGAGCCCTCTGGTTATGATCATAAAGAATGACCCTGGGAGCGTGTCATACTGTCTGCATGTTAAGTATATTTAAATAGAACGCTTTGCCTTGTTTTGCTCTGTGGTGTGATTCATTAGAGCTGCATAAACCAGAACGCCGTGACCTTTTGGGTGAAGTGTTCTCAGTGCCGTCACTGACGGTGGCTTTTAGAAATGCTCTTAAGTCTACTTTAATCTGCCTCAGGTTGAGGGAAAAAAGTGAAAAAAACCTACTTCAGGTAATTCAGAACATGCAGCAAACCACTTTCAGATGAGATAAGTTTATCCTGCACATATAGTGCCTTGATAAGAAATGCATAAGAGGAAGTGTGAAGTGTTTAGATTTAGTTCCTCTGCTCCACTTATCTGGAACAAACTCCCAGAAGACTAAAAGTGCTGAAAGCCTGAGTTCTTTTAATTCTAAGTTAAAACCATTTTTTTTTAAAGCTGCCTTTGACTGTTTAAGTTCAGCTGAGGTGTTATTAGTTTAGTTTTATTTGTTTTATTACCTGCTTTTATCTTGACTTGCATTTAACCTGCTGTTATTTTCCTTATATTTTATTATTTAATTAATTCAAAGCACTTTGAATTTGTCTTTGGACTGAATTTGTTTTCAACTCTGCTAATTCAATCGATACATTTTTGTAGAAGCAGCTTTTCCAATATTTGATGAAGTTTTTAACGAAAAAACTTATTTTTTGGAGAAAATACCACAAATTCTTTACGATTGCATGTAGATTGTCTGCATATATATCTAGATTTTCCCTATTCTGACCCCACAGCATAATGCTTTCAGCACCATGTTAAACCATTGGAACTGTATGTAACAGTAGATCAAATGGTTTTGACTTACACTCGCCAGAGCATATTCTCTAATATTTGCCACATGTTTTGTGTCAACTAGGGCTGAAATAATTAATCTGATTAATCGTAATTAATTGATTATTGAAATAATCAAATAATTTAGTAATCGCTTAATCATTAACTGGAGTATGGAGACTCTAAAACATGCCTTTAGCTGACAGAGCTATCCACTTAGAGCAGGAATTATAACAAAATTGTCTAAAAAATTTTAATTTAAGATAACAGAAATATTTTCATCTGTCAATATGCTCTATCCAGAAGTGGAAAAGATTTAATTTCACCTGGTCTAAAATTATGAAACATGTTCTTTAAGGAACCTTCGGCTATTCGATTAGTAATCGATTAACCGAAAAAATAATCCCCAGATGAATTGATTTGCAAAATAATCGTTAGTTTCAGCCTTAGTGTCAACCTTTAAATGAGACCACAGAGGACGTCCTTTCACTAATACGGCCTGATTTTCTCTGTATAAGATGCATTAGTTGACCTGGAAACAGGTTTTCTAACCTCTGCTGCAGATCCATGCAGCTTCTGGACCTTTTTGCAGCTTCTTTGATTGATGATCCAACTGACTGGCTCTCAGTTTACAGCCTGTGGGTCTAAAATTTGGTAGAAATGACATAACTGAGCAGTTTTTTTGTTTTTTGTTTTTTTTAATGCAGGTAATAAAATAAATGCTAGTACTGTAAGTTTTATTGCAATAACAATTATGGTTTTAAAGTTAAATGTTTTTTCTTGGTTATTATTAAAGCATTATTTTATACATTTTTCTAACACTTTTATTTCCAGAAAATGTTCTTAAATGTTATCTTTTTCTGTCCTAAAGTTTACAATTATGCAACGAAAGCAAATTTTATAATGGTGGATCAAGTCTGATGTTTTGGAGCTTTGTTCATGTTTTGCAGATTTAGACAAGTTTTAGTAAAACTAATGCAAATGAAAAAGAGGATTTCAAAGTTTTCTAAATTTGGAAGATGTGCTGCACTTTTCTGAATTACTTCCACTTTTCAATTACACACTACTAGTGTGTAATTGAAATGATGTAATTGAAGATTATCTGAAAATTAAGTATAATTGAAGTTATGTCATTACTAGTGTCTGCCACATAAAGCCTCATTGAAAGATTACTGAAGTTTATGGATTACATGTTGTCGTACATTAATGTTTAAAGAAAAAAGGTAATTTTGTTTTTTTTTGTTTTTCAGCTGGAGTTTGAGAAGAAGAAGAAGTCCGAGGGGAAGATGGTGAGGGCTGATCGACAGGTGGTTCTGGACATGCTCTTCTCTGCCTTTGAGAAGCATCAGTATTACAGCTTCAAGGACCTGGTGGACATCACCAAACAGCCTGTGGTGAGCAGCACGCATATAAAAGCATTCAAACTACACTTCACATTATCACTGAAGAGACCATAAAAAAGACACACACACCTGCCCACTTTCCACCTTGCATTGTTAAATCCGAACCAGTCGCCCACAGCATGACGTCCGTGCCTAATCACACAATGTGTTGTGGCGGAAATTTGGACCGGAGTGTGCACACGTAGACACACACAGGACAAATCGATACAGCGCTCTGGACTCGATCCAGCTCTCAGTGAACAGCAACGTGTAGGTGCAGATGAGACCTCAAGGTCCTCCTCTCCCTCTGATTGCCACTGATTGCATAACCATCAGCTGAGTAGGAGTCAAACGCCCCGATACACTCCACTCCACCGTTTCCCTCCCAAAGCACTTGGCCAACACTCAAATTGACTGAACTAAAGTAACCAAAATGTCCATTATGAGAAGTTTTGAAGCACATCACTGTTGACCATGAGTGGAGAGGCTGAAGGGTTATTAGCTCGGCAGAGACATCTTGTGGTCATTCTGGGGTATAACATCCACAGTTTAAAGATGTTTTTATATGTTTCTATGAAATGTAAAACAGCACAGAAATTAATATTTTGTGATAAATCCAGCATATTAGAGAGCTTTTACATATTAAAAAAGAGGGGTCACCAACACAGTGCCACATGGGGCGCCCTCAGCTTCTTTTGGAAACAGAACAACTAAACAGTGGGCTTCATTTTAAATTATATTTTATTCTGTTGCTCAGCTTTTTTAATCAATAATAGAGTATTTTATCATATTAATCATATTAAAGGCACAATGCAGACTTTGTGCTCTAAATATTTGATGCATATGAGTTATTTTAAATGATTCTTCATGCCAATATACAGTGCCCGACACTATCCCCTCTAGAAATACCACCTATGTAAATTGGGAGAAGACGCACCGTCGTTGGCCAGGTCATGGGACCTGGAAGAATGTATCGTTTTACGGACACAGGCTCTTATATAGTCATGGAGCTAAGGCTTTTGCTCTACGATTTTTCCAACTGCTCGACTATTGGTCATGGCTGAGGAAAGGAAAAAGTTTAAACCTTCTGAGGAGGATAAAAAGAGAAAACATGAAAGGGATCGAGGGAAAATAAGAGTCAATCATGGAAATTAGTTTGATCGTTGGAGCAGGCCGAAAGAAGAAGCCAGATGTAAAACCGATTCTCTTTTCTCAACTTTATTATTAGACTGGTAAGTATATACAGTACAGTATATATCTTTATTTGTTATATCTTTATTTCTGATTTTTAGAAGTAAAAACCAGCAGTTACAGGTCAAAAGTCTTTAAGCATTTAAGGAGATTTTAAAAGGACATTAGAAATTAAAAAAAATATATGTGTATGAAGTTTAGGTGAACTCTGACCCCTCCAGTTCATATGTCAGTATCGGTAGCCCTTCCAGTCACTCATCACCTGTGAATTGGCCCTGAGTGACACTTGCATTAAGACATGGTCTGAAATATCACACAGAAATGGAGGAGATGGATTAAAATGAGGCAATAGTAAGCTGCTTAAATTCATAATTTGAATTATGAATAATGTAATGTTTAGTTCTTTTTATTTACTAAACACTTTGGATGTGTTTTGCTGAAGAATCAGATTAACATTAGTCTGATTTTAGAGTCAGGCTGCAAAGATCAAAGCAAAAACTCTTGAATATTATAATTTAACACAGCCAGCATTATAAATGTCCCTTTGAGCTGCTGACATGTTTAATTTATTAAGGCCTAATGTGTCTGAGTGCTGTTACCCAGATCTTGATTCAACAGGTTTCATTTTGGAAAAAAATTAAAAAAGCACTAATTTCATTTTAAAGGTAAATCTCACCGTGACATAAAGCCTCATTTTAAAGAGCCTTCATATAAGTAGGGATCACTGCTACATTGGTTAGAGAATATGAGGACAACTTTTATTTATTTTTTGCTTAAACTTGACAGATGACCAGTTCCTCAATCTTTTTCAAACATTTTCTTTTCTTTATTCTGTATTATGCTCTGTGGCTATATGAATAATTCGCACATTTTTGCTGCTTTAAGATATTTGCTTCTTACATCTTTTTTGCCTTTGTTCTCACATTTGGATATTTCAGATGAAACTAGTTTTAATGTTTATGCAAAAAAGAATTCTGGTAATGAGTGTTTTTTGCATCACTGTAAATTGACTCTAACTGTGCCACATTGGTGTGTTTTAATGTGTAAATTACACATTTAAGGTCAAGACTGAGCTGTTATAGATCATCCTGCTGCACGCCTGTATATGTATACTGGTACTATAGGGGGGTCGCAATCATTTGCATGGCCAGAAGAAACATTTTAAAGGAATTAAAATAAGGAATCAAAGTAAATAAATAAAAAGCAACAGCAGGGAATAAATGCGGAAGTAGGAGTCTACATAATGTGCTGCAGGTGTGATGAAAACGGCACTTATATAGGAGGCAGAGGAATTACCAAAAATACAGAAGCCTGTTGATGAATTCACCATTAGAAGTGATTTCTGCCATTTAAAAGGAAATTACGTTATTGTGGCGCTGGATTTTTCATTCAACCCGTCCTATCTCTGACTCGTTCCTTTCTTCTTCCCTGCACTCCACTCTTGATGGACAGGATTTATTGTTGATTTTCCAAACACAGGTTTGAGGTATAATTTTTTTCCAGTGTTTTATTGTCATTACAATGTCACAAGTACAGAGCAACGGAATGAACTCTCTGCAGTGGGCTGCCATTGTTTGCCTGGGGAACAGTGTGGTAGTTAAGTGTTTTTGCTCAGGAACCCAGAGTGGCAGTCTGTGGGAGTTGGGCTTGAACTCAGAACCTCAGGATTCCAAGCGTAATGCCCTAACCACTATGCCACCACTCCCCCAAACCAGGCATTAGCATCAATAGTAATAGGGGGGACCATTGGAGAGTGATCCTTTTACTTTAGCAAATTAGTCTTGCCTAAGGACCCACACTGGCAGCTCATTCCCCCCCAGCTGGGATACGAACCCAAGCTTCTTGTCTGCAGGACGGATGACTTACCACCCGTCCACTTGAGTTACCCCGCCCCTAGTATTAATATTAGTATGCTATTCAATAGTATCCCCCGATCAATAGTAATAGGGGGTACCATTAGAGAGTGGTCCTTTTACTTTAGCAAATTAGTTTTTTTTGTTCTATATTTTTTGTATTTAATAACAAGCTTTAGAAATGTTTGTTTTAAATATGTTATTACTATGTAATATATAATGATATATACCAGAACATCAACTCTACTATGTTTCACTCTCAGAATTGGTTTGCCTTATCAGAGCACACGATATTCTCCCAGACAGCCTTGTAGATCATCTACATGTTTTTAAGAAATGTTTTAGAAAAATTTTCTTGGTTCCTTTCAATACCTTTTGGATAGACGACCGTTGCTTTTTAACCATAGTCCATGTTTTCCTCCTGTAAATAAAGTCATGGGCCATGATTCAGCAGAGACCCAACGCCTTCAAACTAACTTTTTGTCACCCTATTGTCATTTGATATTGCATTTAATTGAAGGCCAATTGAATGCAATCCAAAGGATAAAGATTACTTTATCAGTCAGGTTTGAAAAGTAAACCTGAAGCAAAAATATTTGTTCTAATTTAATTGGAGAGAAATTTCTTTGATCTGTTAATGAGCAAAAACTGACAAAGATGGATTAATGTCAAGTCCTTTTTATAACGAGGTTAATATATTGGTCTGTGGCTCCATTAAAGACGGCAGCATTAAGTGTTTTCCTCTGTCCCATGCAGACCTACCTGAAAGAAATCATGAGGGAAATCGGTACATGCAATCGCAAAGGAGCGCATAAAAGCACCTGGGAGCTGAAGCCAGAGTACCGACACTACCAGCCGGGTGAGGAAGAGGAGAAGAGCCCCTAGCTTCATCAGCATACCTGTTCATTTAGAGGATTCATTCAATTATACATGTGGAGACTTTGAGTTATTTGTGTTTTTTCTTATCTGTTAAAATCATGTGTAATGTTTAACATGATTAATTTACATTATTTGGATTGATGTAATATTTCTTTTGCTGCTTTGTTGTGAATATTATTTGTATTCTGGATTAAACCTGTTAGAGAACAGCAATGCGACGACCATCTGTGTCTCTTGAACTTGTTGAATCTCATGCAGCTGCCAGGTTGAGTCAGGCAGGTGTTTCACACCGCAGACGAGGCTCAGCTGGAGCTGATGGGGAAAAAAATCTGTTCCAGCTGTTATCAGGAAGCAGTGCAGCTATTAGTAATTTTTACTTCGATCAACATGTTAAAATGTCTCCGGTGATTAAAATCTCCTTTTCCAGGTTTTAGCCCCTACTATAAAGCAGATGCTGCATTTTCAGTCAAAGATTAAGGAGCAGAATGGCTGGAAACTAATTTTATGACATCGATTACAGCTTTAAAAATATTTGCATTTAATCAGGCGAAGCAGAAACATCTGAACCCCTCATCAATGGGGTTTTTCAGCTGCAAATAGTGCAAATTTGATCAGGATGAGATCAACCCACTTGGATAATCCTCATGTAGACGAATCTAGTCCTGTAAAAAAAATACTTTTTTTGAAAGGTTAAATTTTTTAATCTTAACTATTAAATGCTAAGAATTTTTTCTCAGATTTATGTAAATTTAAATAAAAGGAAAAGTGCCATGGCCGACATCAATGACATTCCCAATCATTAAATAATAGTGATGTTTCTTTGCATGCGTGGAGCCCATAGAGCAAAACACTATCGATCGTTTCAAGAAATGTGACAGATGTTTCTAACTGACTGACTCACTAAACTGTGTTTTAAAACGTTTCTGTTAACATAATGCATCTGTTAAAAAAAATTTCTCATCTTTTTTGGGGTTTATCATTAATATTACCAAGAATTTTAGAGCAGCCTAAAAGGATAGGAACATTTCAGCTGTTGCTTTATTTTATATTTCTCGTGTCATCCTTTTCCTCTTATCACTCAACTTGCCTTAAGTAAAGTTAATTTCAAATTTACACTTAGTTACTTACTGTTGTTACTGTACTTATTGTTTCAAAAACATGATTTCAAAACCTTGTCCACAAGTATCCTCATTCATTTTACCCTAAATGTCCACATTATGATATATATTTACATTTAAGTGAATCTAAAAATATCAAAGATATTTTCAATTCAAACATAGATATATAATATAACCCACAATAACTTAAATTATATCAGTGTACTAGGTCATCAAATCAATTCAGTTTAGTGTCAAACTGCCTGTAGTGTCTTTAAATGTCCAGCAGGTGTCAGTATTCTCTGAGACAGTATCAATAGTTCGGCAATGTGTCCAAACGCTTCAAGATGCCTCATTAACCTATCACTATTAAATCTTTTCTCGGTTGTTTCAGCAACTTAAACATGTCTTATCTCTGATCCTTGTTCATGGATCGTTTGCAATTTGGAATGCCTTATGTAATCACCCATATCTTCAGTTCCCTACAGAATTATCCCTTAGATTCATGTGAGGCGGTTAGAGCCCAAAAATTGTACTCAAATTAAAGTAGCACTGCCTAAAATTTATTTATTCTTGTAGTCATCCAAAAAAATTACTCAATATTAAAAATATAAAGAGTACTTGGTAAAGACTTAAGTTTAGAAATTATGTAGTCAGATGTTATCTGAGAATTCTGGTATCTGAAAGAGTAAAAATTAAAAACCTAAATAAAATGTTTACAGAATACATATGACTTTAAAAAAAAAAATCCTTTAAGCTGCTCAAACTGGGAAGATACATTTTAGACTAAGACTTGATCAAAATTGCTGAGCTTACTGTATGTATATTTAATGCATGATAGCAGGGGAAATCCAAGCTGATGGAAAAATATCTTCAGGTTTAAGTTCTTAAATCTGTAGTTATCCATATGGTAA